TTTTTCAGTTGGGTCTTTCTCTGCTTTGGGGATCAAGGTGATGCTTGCTTCCAGGAATGAATTTGGGAGTATTGCTTCCCTTTGAATTTCATTGAAGAGTTTAAACAGTAGTAAGCCTGGCAAGTTTTAACATTTATAAGAGAGTTTTACAATTTAATACATAAAATTTCCTTAATCATTGCCTTAGTTACTTTTCTCGTTGCTGAGATAAAATACCCAACACCCACAAGTTGAAAGAGGAAAGGTTTATTTTAGCTCACAGTCTGTAGAGGTTTCAGTCTATAGTTGGGTGGCTCAAAGGCAGGGTGGAATGACAGAGGAGAAACAGTCCATGGCAGGGTAGGCAGGTGACAATGAAGCAGCAGCACTTAGCCTTCCATTGTCTTTTATCTTATCCATCCTACAAGCCCATTGGATGATGACATCCACACCCAGGGTGGGCCTTCCCATTTTCCACACCCAAACTATACTAAACCAATGAGCAGATTAATTTAATTATTACACACCCTTAATTGCAGTATCATATACCCTAATCTAGCATCATATACCCATAATCTAGCTACCTCCCAAAAGCCCCACCCATGAGTACATGAGGCTTTGGAGGGACATCTAGATACAAACCATAACAACCATTATGGGCTGTATTTATAAATTTAACATATTATCTTTCCTTTCTTAAGAACTTCAAATATCTGACTTTAAATCTAATGATTTAAAGATTTAAATATTTTTAAATCTCTTAAATGTTTCAAAAGTGTTTACAGAATAAAATCTCAACATGAATCATACATCTAATCACCCAATTACACATTTTAAAAATAATAGGGCTAATGTGTAAGATGCCAATTTTCCTTAAACATGATGACTTAAAAATTATAAATACACTTAGAATCTTTAAAATATGTCATAAGTTTGATTTCCTTAGCATTTAATTTTATCTTAAATCTCTTGGGAAGTTAAGATGCTACTTATCCTAAAGAATCATGCATCCCAAATATTGGGAAAGTTTTCTCCCCAAGGGGATTTTTGGAAATTGCCTTCTCAGCTGCCCAAAGCTGGTGACAGAATAGCAATTGTGGCTGAGTGTGAGAGACCTGGACTCCAGAACACCAGGGACATTCTTTCTGCCACTCCAAAGGCCAGGCTGGGCCCCTTTTCATGGGCACTATGTCAAGAAATTTGTAAGTTAATGAAGGAGGTGATCAGGTAGTTCTTGGTGTATTACCTGATTTTAAGTTTGTCTTAAGTCAATTTTTCCAGTGCAATCCTTTCCTGTCTGTCTTATGTCTCGTATTTTTAGATGTGAAAATGACTTTGGCTGAACATTGGGTCCCCCTTGTGTTCAATTTACTTTTAGGCACAATTTACAAATTCATTCTACTAAAAAGTTATCTAAGGTGTTTTCCAAAATTAAGAGAGCATTGAGGCTATGTTATGGTTGTGTCCCCCAAAGCCTCATGTGGTCATAGGTGGGGCTTTTCAGAGGTGACTGGATCTAGGGTGTGTGATGCTGGGATTAAGGCTGTGATTACTAAATCACTGAATGGCATAGTTCTGGGTGTGGATAATGGGAAGGCGCACCTTGGGTGTGAGTGCTACCTGTCTGAAGGGCCTGTAGCCTGGATAGAAAATAAGAGACAGAAAGAGGGCTCCTGTCACCATTTGCTGCTTCTTCACTACTTTGCTGCCTTCTGCCCACCATGGACTATCTCTCCTCTGGGATGCCTCTCTCCCAGGGCACCCTGTCTTGGAGCTGGCCAACTATAGACTGAAATCTCTACAAACTGTGAGCTACAATCAACCTTCCCTCTAATTTTGGGTGTTGTGTATTTTGTCTCAGCAATGAGAAGAGTAACCAAGGCAGGCTCGTTAATCCCTTTTACTTCCTGCCTCAGGGTTCTGTGTTTTAATTGGCCACAGGAGGCTTGGGACCCCTGGGAGTGTAAGGGAGCTGAGCCAGTGACCGGGGATCCAGTTCAGAGGGATGCAGAGCTCTGAGATGCCCTGGGACATGGGAGCTGCCAGAGGGGGAGCCCAGCTCTGGGCTGGTGACACAGCTGGAGTGAGGTCAAGGTAGAGTGGGTGCTTTCAGCACAAAGAGGGGCTCTGGGGCTCTGAGGGGGACAGCTCTGTAGTCAGGTGTTGAAAGTGCTCCCCGAGACTGCTGTTGGGTATGGAACGAGAGGAGGTCCAGGAGCGATTTGCTCTGACATTAACAAAGCCCCAATCATGACCCTTTTGAAGGCACCAGTTCTCTGTTAGGACAGTATCTTGACCTGAGAAGTAGTTCAGCATGTAGGCCAACCTCATTATCCCCATAACGAAACACTGGGAAAAGATAAAATGTCCAATAGTACTAGAGATTTTTGCTTACTGAATATTACATAGCCATTCAAATGATATTCCAAAAATGTATTTTAAGAATGAAATGTGGAAGATACATAATATAAAGTTTAGTTTAAAAAGCAGGATATAAAAACCATATACACAGTATTATCCCCTTATGAGTGTTGCTAATTTCTTAGGATATGTTTTCTAAGTTAAAAAAATAAGCACATGCCAGCCAATGTTAAGGACTATGTCAAGTGGAAATTGAGAGACAATAGAAAATAAGCCATCAATTTTTTTCTAACAAGTCATAATAAATTACAATAGCCAAGAGTTATGAACATGTGACAAGTGTCAGGTTAAACATCAGCTTTGTTTCTCCCATACAGGAACTAAGGTGTAGAGCAGTCAAATAATTTCTCCCAGAGTCACACAGCCTTGTAATTGTCCAGAACTGAAAAGCAAAATGTTAGCTACTGAGGGTTATTGTCTTGCAGCTTGAGAATCTGATTCTGAAGTGGGGCGGGGGGGCTGTGCTGAATGTCGGTTGAAAAGGATGGAGAACTAAGCTTTGGGTTCTTTTTTCTCCTTGTAATATTATGACATTTGGATATATTTAAAGGCCATAGAAAAAGACTGTAAAGGGAGAGGATGTCAGACAGGAAGGTTCTCTATGCCCAGGGCAGTGGCTCAGAGCACGGAGGGCTGCTGCAGGAGGGTCTCCCTGGAGGTCACTCCTGAGGCTGTGGGTGCGCGTGGCTGGTGGCTTCCAGGAGAAAGCACGGGGTGTAGAAGTGTGATCTCGGTGGCCTTGGGTGAGCGTGCCGAGGGGTGGGCATGGGGCAAGGCGTGCTGTGGAGGCCTGGAGAACAGCAGCCCAGGCTCTGTGGGCCTCGGGGGGCAAGGCTTGCTCAGCCGGGGATCCTGCCAGGACTTCTGCGGTTGAGAGCAGAGGCAAGAGAAGGGAGCGGAGGGGTGGTAGAGGAAACATCCTAGGACCGGGAGAGATGCCCCAGGCGGCGGGAGTGCGGTGGGGGGGTCCAGGGCAGCTGAGTCTGGGGGGCCCTGCAGGGGGAGAGATGACAGCAGGGAGGTGATGGGTGGGGGAGCCGGAGACTTGCAGGCCTCAGCGCACCCCGCGGGGTGCTAAGAGCCTTGGCGGTGACCTACCGCGAGTGACGAGGCCACAACGGGCGTTGGTGGCGGAGGGCGGCAGGTAAAGGGGTGGCCTTGGCCCGGCCACTAAGCCGCCTTCTGAGCAGGCGCAGAGAGGCTGCCAGGGAGCCGAGGCCCAGTCCACAGGCGGCTTGGGCAGAGGCGGGGTCCCCAGGTACAGGAAGGGGCTCAGGGCCTCAGAGAGCGCCTGGCAACAGACAAGGAAGCCCCCCCCCCCCCAAGGCAGAGTCCAGCCCAGATCTCCTGTACCTCTTTCATGTGTTGCCACAGATTCCCAAACAGCGTTAACCCCAATTTTACCTTTCCTTCCTCTTCCTTTTTAGAGGTACTGGGTATTAAAGCCAGGGCCTTGCACATCAAGTTTGGACTTCAACTTTACCTCTAAACCCGTTTCATGGATGAGGAAATGGAGGCGTGGTGAGGGTAGGAAATCTGCCCAGGGCCACGGGGCTTGTAAGTGGGGAGAGGATTCAGGCTGACTCTGGCAGTGCACTGAGTTCTGGTGAAGCCCCCACAAGGAAACGGAGTAAGGGCCACAGCAGGCCACAGAGGGGCAGTCCCAGGAGGCTTTCGGCACCTTGACTCTGTCTCTCCTCCCACCAGGGAGGAGCCGTCATCAACAGGGACACACGGCGGTGCCTGGAGGTCACCAGGGAGCTGCTCGGCGCCCGTGTGCTTGTGCTGCGGGCCTGCACAGCGCAGGTGTGGGAAATACAGTACACGCTCGGGGCCTGGGGCCGGCCGGGCACCCTGTGAGCCTGGCTGGGAGCTCTCCAGCGCTTCTCGAAGCAGAGAGGGCGTGGGTGCAAGGTGACTTAAGCGTGCTGTGCAGGGGTGAGGGACCCCGGCACGTGTCAAGGGGTCTGCGCGGCTTCGAGGAGCAGGAGCTCTGATTCCCCTCCCCCTTCCCTCGGAAGATCGTGATATGCATCCGGCACTGATGGAAAGTCCTTGAAATAGCCGGATCATCTGGCAGTGCTGTGGGAGGGAGGGAAGGGAAGTTTGTCTCTGAGTTCGCCAACTCTGTTGAGCCTTCCTTCCTGCTACTACGGCACCTGCCCTCACCTGCCCCTTCCCTGCTCATCTGCTCAGAGATGCCCCAGGCTGTTGGCTGCTCCACCTGACAAACTGGGCGCTCCTCACGCTGCAGCAGTGCGGCCCCTCAGAGGCACCGAGCCCTCCTCCTTTCAGACTGTCCTGGAAGATGCCACAAATAGACAAGCAGCCCTAACAGATGCCTCCTGCCCTGCCCCACAGCGATTCTGTTTGGATGACCAAATCTCCTGCACCAGGGATGCTGGCGAGGAGACACAGTGCCTCACCTAATCTCAGCTTTCCAAGGAACAGAGCATAGAGAATGGTAGAAAAATCTAGGTCTTTCTGACTTTCTCCAAGTAGGCTGTCACAGTTAATGACTTGATCTCACCTATTTCCCCTTACTGCCCACAAAAATTATGGGGAAATGAAGGCCACCCCTTACTAAGGCACAGAGAACAACTGTAGATGGAAATCAACACCCAGCGCTCTTACCGCCGCTCACTGGATAAACCTCTGTGCCCAGTGGTGGGTTGAGAAGAAATGTCCAGAGCTGCGGTATTTGGTGGGGTTGGAGACTGACAGAGCGGCTCCAGGGCAGACAGCGGGGCCTGGGGGGGACCTCCTTCACAGAGCCACGTTCTCCTTGGCTGCGTGTCACAGCAGTTCTAGGAGGACTCTGGGCATTGCCTGGTTCCCTCAGGCACCAGGCAGGAAAGACACCAGTAATTTATCACAGAATTAACTTGACCAAGATGCTTCAAAGTGAGCTTTGGAAGTATACAAGTCATAAGTATACTACCTGGTAAAGTTTTCACAGTGAATTCAGGTACACCAAGAACTAAAGCATAGTCACAATACAATTTTATTATGAGAAAAGTAAGGGACAGAATACACGTTAAGCAAATGCATAACTTCTAGCATCTGCCTGGCAGATTGAAGGGAAAATGTAATTGAAAACAAAGTCTTAAAAATGTATGTACCAAATAAAAAAACAAAAGACACAAAAGCCTTAGACTGGAAAAGATTCATTCATAGATAAATGCCAACTAACAGTGTGTTGAAGTCCCTTTTCCCTTCAATGATGAGGCAGAGTAACTCAGTGTATTTTGTTAGGTGAAAAGAAAAACAGCACCTGTAGTGTGTATGTTTTAGGTAGGAAATAAGGAGAAATACACACGTGCCTATTCATTTCTACAAAATAAAACAAAAAGTATAAACTAGAAATGAGTAAGATTGGCTACAAAGGGCTGGGGTTTAGCTCAGTGGTGCCACTGCACGCCTTGCAAGTGCAAGGTCCCAAGTTTGATCCCTAGTATCAAAAACAAAAACAAGATTGACTACAAAGACTGCTATGGTGGTTGGGAATGGGGTGCAAAGGGGGGAGAGGTAGCAGAAGGGAGCTAAGGGGTGGCATTGCTCCACACAGGCAGGGTTCTATAGTTCTGACATTTAAAATATTTTAATGTTCAAAATGGAAGTATATAAAATCAAAGATACAGAGAAACCTAAAGTGGGTTATAAATAACACACAGGAACCTAACTATATTCTTATGTTCCAAGTGAAAACACATAGGCCCACACGCACACACAGCGCGAGCACCCTCAGCTGCTCAAGGCTGACAGGGATGTGCAGCCGGACTGACAGGCTTCCTATAGCCAATGCTGGGGGCTGTTTGAGCATTAAAATCAACAATGATCACAATGGACTATAAACCACAGAATCAAATAAGAATCCATGAGTTCATTCAGGCGAGTGAGTGAGGAGAAGGGAAAGCTCTTCCTTACAGCAGAGCACCAACTGACAATGCGGAAGGGATTATGGAATTAGGAATCCACCATTTGGCACACATCGGATTTAAAATCGTCTCTGGTAAAAATCACTAAGATGAGTATGAGGAGAGACGGGACACATATGCAGTGTCAAAGTAACTCCCCAAAAGATATTTATTAACTGCAGAGAGGAAATAGTAATTTCATGGGGGAGAAAGCTGGCAGACAAGTGTTAACTGAGCCATCCACATAAACATCACCAATGGTTAGACAAATGGATGTCATTCGCTTCCTGATACGACCTACCAAGAAGTGCACAAATTGTTTTTATGTATTCCCGCCCACAGCACAGAACCTGGTGCTAGAACCTTGAGAAAACATCACTTGAACCCAAACAGGGACATTCTTTAGAATAGTCTGTATGCTTCAAAGATGTTAAAGTCACGAAAGACAGAAGTGACGGAGGAACTGTCTCATATTAAAGGAGACTAAAAGGACAGGACAACTAAGTGTAATATATGGCCCTGGGCTGAGTCCCAGACCTGGGGGAATTTTTCTTTCCTTTGGCTAAAAAGAACAGCAATACAAAATCAATGAAATTTGCTGATTAGATATTAGTACTGTACCTGTGTTATTTTTCTGATTTTGATCCTTGTACTGTGGCTCTCTAAGAGAATAATATACCTTATAAAAATTTTATGAATTGGTCACTGAATGGGTTTGGGAATGCAATGTTATCGCTGAGATTTTAGATAGATGGATAGATAGGTAGATGATAAAATAAATGAATCTGGGTGAAGAGTGAAGAGTATACAAGAATTCTTTGTGCTATGCTTGCAATTCTTCTGTAAGTCTCATTGTTTCAAAATAAAAAGGTTTAAAACAGATGCAAACAAAAATTGCTTCCTAAGCATACATAAGTCCCTCAAAATGGAGAATTCCAGAAATAAATGATAAGTTTGAAATACCTTTTATGACAGTGTGTTGTTATAATTATTCTGTTAGTTATTATTAATCTTATGGGACTAAACCTTACCACAGGCAGCCATGCATAGGGAAAAATGTACATATAGTGTTTGGTATGATCCATTACCTGTCCAAAGTCCCATATGGAATTCTGCTTCTCTGGTTGTGGTCTACTTTCAGTCTTCCTCAGTCAGGACTCTTTAAAATCCTCTGTGACTGGTTTTAGTCCTGTGATAAGAAACTGTTCACTTGGCAGCCATGTTCACTCTTCACTGAGTCCTCTCTGGCAGTTTTGGGAAGAGCGGGCTCGAGAGTTCCCTCCAGCAGCAAGCAACACAGTTTACTAGATGACCTCGAGTACCGAGGGTCACCAAAACCTCCCCTCATGGGGGAGTAATTCTATGCTCGTCCTTTGGAGTCCGATTTCTATAACTCTGGTCCTGTCATTCCCTCCCTCTGGCCCAGAGATTCCTATTCCTGGGGTGACCTGCAATGTCCATTTCCCCCATCCCACATTACCTCTGGATTTCCTGAAGAATACCTCTGATTTTTCAGAGGGCCACGGGGTTAGCCATGCTAGAATCCTTGGGGTCCACACTACTCTTAAAGCGGCTCCTCTCTCTGCAGCTCTGCAGGAGCAAGCTGTTGTCTCCTCTTTTCCTCAACTTGTCCCAAACTCAAGTTACAGAACAGCTCAGTTTGGTCCTCCCCACCCTCACTTCAGACCAAAACCTCGGGTGTGCAACTTGGACCTGCCCCTTCTCTTTACTGCACCTCATACAGCTCTGGGTTTCTAGTTCTTTTCCAGGGGGACCAGGCTTGGACACAGGATCACTGCTGTCTTTTGCCTGGCTGTCCCTCTGCTCCAGGCCCTGAGCACTGTCCACACCAGACGTCAACGTCCCTACTCTGTCTTGAGAGCACACAACCTCCTCACCCGTGTATGATGTAAGGGAAAAACAAATGGACACGTGAGTGATTTTAAAGTTAATCTCTTAGAGTCCCTTTATTACTAATACATTTTCACAATGGAAAATGTGAGTTAGCTAATTTCCTGAATTTAGGAAAACTTATAAAGTCCTTCAATAGAGATTAAATTAAATAGAGTTAGGTCACTAATGCCATAGTGAGTTAATTATCATCTGGGTTTGTGGATAAAGTCAACTAGTAACTTTTAAGTTATGATTTTAATAATACAGTGTTCTCCCACAATAGTTTTAACAAATATAGTCTTAAGATGAAAACCTGTCACAAGATTATAAGCCTGTCATCCTCAGAACTATAAAAAAACCAAGCTCACAAGATTACCAAAAAGCTGTTTGGCCTCTTTAGAAAACAAACAAATAAACCTTACTGTAATAGTTTGGTTAAGTTAGCTTATAAGTAGGTAGTCAGGGATAAAAGATAGAGTCAGATAAAAGAAAATAGCACACACTGAGTTGAAAGCTAACTCAAGTCATAAGGCTGGTTAAGCTTAAAAATAAAAACACAAAAACAGTTCTTCTGCAGAGCACACTAGGATAAGTAAGAATGGAGAGATATGGACCCCCTGCCCAGGAAAAGGGTTATTTTGCAGAATACACTAAGTTAGTTGACAGACTTTCCCTACCTCCAGACTGGACTTCTTCGAGGAACATTTAAAATGCAAAATAACTGGTATTCTTTGAACCGGGGAGAGTAACTGACTTTTTCCCATGCTCTGCTTCTCCATATGAGTAGGAGAAAGAAGACAATTTGTACTAATACCCTCCTGGTAATGGGAGCACTTTTTCTTATTATTATTTCCAATAAATGCTCTCCTAATGGGCTCATTTTGTCCGTGATTTCATTCTTCAACTTTGTGAGTACAGAGTTAACTGTTCTACCACCACCACCACCATCACCACCACCACCATCACCACCACTCTCCCTGGCATAAACTCAACTTTATGACAGCAAGGGAAGAAATGTGCATCACTTTAGCTTTCACTGATGAAGGAGATATGTCAATAGTCCCTAATGTTTTCTTCCTCTTTCAAACAAGTCGTACTGGCCAGGTCCTTTCAAAGTAAGAGGCAGGTCTTCCATTCTCTGAAGACTCTTTATTTACTACTAAATGAGCCAGTGATTCTGCTTCTTATATGCTGTCCAGCTAGGCTGAATTTTAAAAATGGGACTCATGCCTTCCTACTTCCACAGGACCTTGGAGAAGGGGCTGGGTGCAGTCCCAGAATCCCACTCTTTCCCCCTCATCCAGCTCTGCTTATCCTTCCTGAGGGCTGCACAGGGCCCCTCCCTTGGGTCTATAGCATGTCCAGTCTCGTCTTTCCATCTGAAGATTCTTTCCCATTGTGCACAGGAAATTCCTGCTTCTCCAAATCCCACCTTCTAAAAAACATCAATGGAAGATTTAAAGAACAGAAAGAGATTTGTAACACCCCTGTGAGAATTAAAGCTTTGCAAGCCACAGATGTCACTGGTGTGAAGGAACTCATTGATGTCAAATGAACACAGAGCAGGAAATGATTAAGGTTGATATTTTTGGAAACCAGGACAGGAGTATGGAGAAAAAAGCAGTCACGATCTAATAAGCTGATTGTCTTTGGGCATAGCAAATGCCGTGCTATCAATGAACATTTGTGAAGTGCATCTAATCGGTAGTAATTCTTGCAAATATAATATATATTAGGATTTTTTTCAGTTCTGGGATTTGAACCCAGTGTCTTCACGCTGAATTACATCCCCAGCCCTATTTTTATTCTTTATTTTGAGACAGGGTCTCACTAAGTCACTAAGTTGCCCAGGCTGGGCTCAAAGTTACAATTCTCCTGCCTCAGCCTCCCAGAGTGCTAGGATTACAGACATGGGCCACAAGCCTGGTTTAAGCCAAATGTTTTTAATGCATTAGAAACAGTTTCCTAGCAGTTATCTGCAGTGTCCACATGTGTATGTGTGCTACAGTTGGCCACGAGCAGCATGGCTGGGTGGACAGCAGCCCTGGCACAGTGTCTGGTGAGCCCCTACAGGATCACAGTGGGTCTCAAAGAGCGAATGTCTTCAGCAAGTTTCTGCTCACTTAAATCTGTAGGATCATCTCTCCAGGGCAGGAATCCTCTGCAACATGAATCACTCCAGATGCAGGCAGTGACGTGTACATTCCCAGCTCCTCTTGCTCCGGAGGTAGGAACCTAAGGACACAGGTTGCAGTACAATGGTGACAAAAGGCATCCAAGAGCATTCTGGACACCAGCACTGCAACACCGGGAACCCCCTTCCTCTCCAGGCCACACAGCAGCCTGGCCTGAAGAAGTTCCTTCCATGGCTCCGTCCGTCCCAGGCACCCCCAGGCAGGTGCTGGAGGCTGTGCAAGACTGAGGAGGGACAGCAAGGCTGATCACGGTAGGGAGTGTCACAGCCGGGGACAGGGTGGTGTCACAGGCTGGAAGCACAGTCTGATCCGAGTGTAGGTTGGTACAGTGTGCAGGGTGTAGAGTTGTGTCAAGGCTGGGTGGGTGCAGGGTGGAGTCAGCGACTGTCGGGGTGCAGTGTGGTGTTGTAGGCTGGCAAAGTGCACTGGGAGAGGCCACTGAGTGTGTGGGCACTGATATGCTGCTCTTAAACTTGGGGCTCTGTCCCCATGGCCTGGGCCCCTCTCACCAGTCTCAGCCAGGGCCTGCGTCAGGCTGGAAGATCCCGGGCATAGCGGCTGCTGCTGTGGGGACTGGCTTCACCCTTCCATTCCCTGTGGTGCCCAGGCCAATGGTGGCAGCTGACAGAAGGGACAGAGAAGCATAGCTGGGGACCACAGACTAATACGTACGTGGCCTGTGGTGTGGCTGTGTAGGGACCGTCTAGGATAGGGCCAGCAGGACACAGGTCCTGGGGCGATGGAAGGGAGGGTCTGGGGTGCTGGGCTGCAGCTGCTGCTGCTGCAGGATCCTGTGGCCTGCAGTCTTTCCAAGAGGCTGTGGAAGCAGCAGGACTGGTTCAGGATGGAAGGGTCTGCAGCTAAGCCTGGGCAGTGCCGGGCAGGAGGAGGCCGCTGTCTGTGGTGGTCGCAGCAGGACCCCGGTGTCTTTCGCACTGTGCCTGGGGCTTGCTGGTGTCTACTCACCCCCAGGTGTGAGGGCCTTTGTACTCAGAGCTAACAGCTCAGTGGAGCTGCCCTGTTCACACTGATCAGCGGAATAATCTGCTCTTTGCCTCCTTCAGGGTGGAACAGTGGGGAGTTTTCAGTCATGCCACTTTGTCCAGGGGTCCTTTAATTGTGGACCGGCTGTTTCCCAGAGAAGATTCTTCTTCAGCACCCTACTCAGTTCTTAGGGTCTGGGAAGAGCTGTAAAGGGAGCAAGCTCACCCATGGGACACGCCTCACCTGCCTCCTGGGCCCCTTGGGAGCAAGGAGGATTCTTTATCCTGCTACCAGCATCCTAATAAAGTGAATGCAGCCTATGTGTCTCCCCCTGCCAATCTGAACCCAGAGGGGGGGGGGAGGTCCAGCAAGGTGGGAACACCCAGGGCCTGGGTGGAGGAAGCAGTCAGTCTGCCTGCAGCTGCTCACCTGGCTCCTCAAGTGAGGATGAATGGCTGTTTTCAGCCTCCTGATTCCCTGTCTATGCATAGAGGAGCCTGGAAAAAAGTCATACAGGGCCAGCTGCATCCAAAAGTCAACGAAGGGAGGTTCTCAAAAGAGCCGTCCAGGTGCCCAGAAAGGTGGCGGTGGCTGGCTTGGGCCTCCTGGGGCCCTGCTTGCCTGCAGCGTGGCCCCATAAACAGGTGACTGTTCTGGAACCCAGCCGCCTGGACAGACCAGGGACGGGAGGCTGTAGGGAGCACAACCAGTCTGGCTCCTGGCCAGTGCCCTGTCTGTGTCCGCTCCATCCTCAGAGCCTTTTGACTGTGCCAAGACCAGAGGTTCCTGCTCCTCTTGGCG